AATCTATTTCTGCACTTATCTTCTTCTTAAAACTTCCACCAGAGTGCGCAACAGTGAATATTTTCCCATTCTCTTCCAAACCTATTTTCGCAATTTCGAACTCCAAATTGATTTTAGACCCATGGTTTATTCGGCAAATTTGCTTAGAATTACATGTAGAACCCTCGTATTGTCAAACAAAAATTACCCGCCCTAATGTACACTATTAAAAGTTAAGAATTAAATAGATAACTTCAATTACGATGATGAAAGGTGACAATGGTAGATTGATTCCCACATTAAACCGCAGATGATCGCCACCCTAATGTCTTCCTGATGTTAGTGTTGCTCGATTAAAAAGAAGGAAGATAGCTTTACGGAGATGGTTTTTATAGGCCACACTGGAAGGCAACTATATCTATATATCTATAGGTAAGACTAGAAGTTGGAATGGAATATCCAAGCAGGGATACTTTGAATCGGTGAATGCGCTGCGATGCGTATAGAATTAGAAAATGCACAGTGATGCATTCTTTAAGTGGGCGCAAGTCACTTAAATAAACATCATTCCTTAGAAATGCATGTATTGGCCACTAACTAAAAAAAAACTTAATTCAATCAGTATGATTTTTATAATTATTTGCAACACCATTTAATAAAAATCGCGCCTGTTTAGCACATTTTGAACCGCAATCATTGTAGCAGCAACAAACAAAAGAAGCCCACGCACGCAGGGCTGACAAAAGAGACACACCCTACGTATATATACGTATGTTTATGTACTTTTATGCACAGCTTATCATTTACATATGCATGCAATACTCAAATAAATGTGTCAGTATTACAAGTTGAGTGCGTTAATGAAAATTAAATTAATTCTTATAAATTAAATTTTAAGAATATTTTTAGATTAAATATATTTACCTATATCGGCACAAAGAGAATAATACAGAAATGTATTGACTTTTGAAGATAATGGGTCATGCATTTGTACATTCATACATATTTACATACGTATGCATATTATTTTATGATAAGCATATATGGCTTTGATTATGAAGTTCTTCTAAATTTTTCACATTGTTAAGCCGTCAAATATATATTTACTTTGCCGCCTGTTCGAAATACATATGCACATAAACACATAAATATAGATATACATTAGGGTGGTCACAAAATACAAAGGAAAACCAAATTTTTTGAATTTTCATGCTGCCAGAATTATAGAAAAATAAAGACCCTCGTTTTTTTATATAGAAATTGGTTAATATTTAATGGTTTCGACGTAGCTTTGAAGTTTTCCATGTCTGTACATACTTACATAAAATATTGTACATGGAGTATTTCTAAAAAGTGTATAAAAATTAAAATTCTTTTGACCAAATAAGAATATTTTCCTACAAAATATTTTCCTACAAATCTTCAAAAAATAAAATTATGCCTTTAGCAATTCTGAGAAAAAGCTTTCTCTTCATAAAAAATATGTGGGGAAACTTCAAAGCTCTGTTGGTGCCATTAAATATTAACGAATCTATATCTAGTATCTATATACTATAAATTTATAATAAAATTTTGGCCGTTTTTTTTTGTGTGCGCATCACGTAAAAACTACTGCGCCGATTTAAACGAAATACATATTGCCACCGGTATAAAAAATTTTTTAACTGAAATTAATTGATAAGATAAATTAAAAATTACTTTATGGGCATCAAACTAGAGAGGTTTAAAAACAGCTACCGCCAAAAATGTTTTTTAGGAGGGTTGCCACCTTTTTCAAAACTTTTATTAAATTAAATTGATAAGGCAAATTAGAGATTACATGATAAATATCAAACTAAAGAGGTTCAAGAAGGCTTACAGGCGAAAATATTTTTAAGGAGGGTTTCCACCTGTTTGAGAAATGTTGTTTAATTAAATTGATTTATTTACATACAAATGAAATATTAGAACCAATTGAAAAAGCTTTGAGTTTGAGAAAACTTGGTTAGACAATCTTTTTGACAAGTTGCCTCCTATCCAAAAGTCGAACTATAAATAAATTCAAATAAAGAAAGAATTTACAACATATTTGCAAACACATTTTCGATTTATAAAGCATTTAAAGTCTTCTTTATTTTATATGAATTAAAAAATTTTGAACCGACCTAAAATACATATGTATGTGTATGTATGTACATAGATATTTATAACAATGCACACCTCCAAGAAGTGAGTAGATTTGGGGATGGTAACGCTTATCATGTTTATGTTCGGAAACGTGATTTTATCGTTATAAACTCATTTAATTTACTTCCATAACTTTTAGTTTTTACACACACATATATTTTTCTTACACTCCGTGTCATAAATTAAGCAACAAGTTTTAACAAATTAATTTTTTTGTTATTTAATTTTATTTATTTTTTTTTTTGTATTGATTTTTGGCTATCGTTTCGCTGACGGTATTATGGAAGAAAATGAGTGTTTTTCGAGAAAAAAATTTAAAAAAAAATCAACGGCAAGTCTTCCTTACTTTAAACTTGCAATTTACTAAAATTAAAATTGGATAGGCTGCAAAACTAAAACTAAGTTAAGCAACAAAAAATAATAATTTGTCATAACTTGTCAATGTGTTTTAATTTTGACATGGAGTGTATAATATATTGATTTTGAATTAGTGGTGCCATTACCATAGCCATAACCATAACCATAGCAATTAATTGTTTCGATAAAACGTACGCGCAGCTCTGTAAATGATTATTGGTGCCATACTGTAACGCCAGACCCATAACCATAACCGTTGGTATCTATTTAATTTTGGTTTTTTGCCATAACCATAAGCAGCTCTGAAGTATTTTGCTACGTTATGGCTAAGGCGTTATGGTTATGGTACCTCTAATTTGGCCTGTAATAGATTTATATAATCGACAAACATTTCAAGAGCTCTTGTATCCGGTTTCTTAAATAAAATAAATACTGACTCAGCAAAGTAAAAGAAAAAAATTTTACAAAACAATCGAAATAGTACATATCCAAAAATAACGACGAAAAGTTTAAGCACAACAGAAAATAATATTTAGGTACAGGTTGCCTCCATGCCGTACTAATTTTAGCTAGTGCGAATTTTGGGACATAATTTGCCACCTGTCAGTCTGATTTATTTTTGTATTGGATGCAAAAGAAAATTACTAAGCTTTAAGTTTGAGAAAAATAAATAAAATTACGCGTTTAGCGATTTGTTCCTATAGCCCAACGTAAAGTTCGAGTATAAAAAATGTTTATAAGGCACGAGGCTGGAACAATAAGTCCGTGACTTTTTGAATAATCTGCGTTGGAACTTGGAAAATGATACTGATCTCTGCAACTATTATGTACTTATCGGTTAATAGACTACTACAAAATATTGAGCAAAGCGAATTAATTCGTTTGTGTTTTACAAATATTATAAGCAGACTACATATGTATGACAAAAGTATTTTAACAAAAAATGTTTCGCAATATATGAAAAGTTTTTCATTCTAATTTCTTTTCAATAATTGTTTATAAAAAGATAGTTCAAACTACGCCAAAAAACACAAAAATAAAGTTCGAAAATTCATTAACCTCAAGTACACTGTTCTAGTACTTGCCCACCAGATCCCAGTTCCCACCACCCTAACGTAGCACCGAAATGTCAGTAAACAAATTTAAGCTCGCCAAAAATCATTAAACTTTTAATAGGGAAGTATTTCGATTCAAAGGCAGTTTAAAATTTTTTTGACGCCTTTTTTAATTTTCCGTCATATCGTCCGCGTTTACCATCAGATCTTAAAATGCGGTATATCGATGTTTCTGTCTTGAGGAGAAATTTCTTTTATTCCAAAGCTCATCATTATATTAAATATAATAAAACTAGTTTGAACAAATTAATGAAAAATCTGGAAAATTATTCTAGAAGATAGTAAAATTTTTTTAACATTAATTTTTAACTATAATTAATTCTTGCATCGAATTAAATCAAAAATTGTTTGTGATCCTAGAAAAACATACCTTCTAAACATCATCAAACCAATCTGAATCCGTAATGTTTTTGAACCATTTCAATACCCCAAACCTATCTTAATTAAACTATCTATTTAATTGATTATTAAGTTTTAACGTCGAGAAAAAAAGAAAACAACGTTGAACAAAATAACAAAAAAAAGTCTTGAAAATTATTTTGGAATGACTTTAGAAGTTGGTAAAATTTCTTTAACATTTATTGCATTAAATCGGAAATTCTGGCAGCAATCAAATCTCAATCCCTGAGGTATGTACCGCAAGCCCATCTTAAATAAACTTACCACGTCGATTTTTATTAAAAATTCTTCATTATTAATATAATAATATAACAGCATTTTATTAATTGTTAATTGATTATTAACATAGAGCAGCAGGAATTAGAATACAATAATTTACAAATGTGCCATGTCAGCCGGTGCCGCCCATCACTTAAAGAATAAATATTTTGATCTATAAATTAGCTGGACAAATTTAAGTGAGCATGTATGTAAATAAATATAATGAAAACAAAAAGTCAGTAAATACTAGTAAGTTTATGTATATATGTATGTATGTACGATTAAGTTTTTTTATTTTGTTTTTTATTTTTACAAACAAGGGAATACAAAAAAATTATCACCAGCAACATAAAAATGCTTTAATTTAATGGTTAAATTACTGAATTTTCTTCCAGTACAATAATTTTGACATTTTTTTTTTTAAATAATACTATGCAACAAATTTCAAAAAGTTGGAGGTGATGGTAATCGGACAAACAGCATTTGATTAAGCTGGTCAAATAATTAAAATCTTCCAAAGGATTTAAAAAAGTTTGTTACCATTTCTTTTTTATCGCATTTTGAAGTTGGGGAAATAAGATCCCAATGAGAACGTATAATTTAAAAACACATTTTCCAAAGTTAGTGGTGCGGGCAGGGGAGGGGATGGGAGGAGTTTTTGGCACAGCTCAATGTTCAACTGAAAAAATTGTATCATATAAACATATATATCGTACACTTATGTCTAAAGTGCGATCAACTCAAAAAAAAATTTTTGGTCGATTTTTTTTTTGCATAAATCAATTCATAGGACTCACATCCAATTAATGGAAATAAGTTTTTTCTTCATGATTATATACATTAACCAAAATACATTAACCAAAAACCTACTGAGCGAATCGAAAAAATCATTGTACTGGTTTATTTTTGAACATTAAATTCACAAGTTAAAATCGGTATAAAAAGGAAATGGGAACCAACTTTTACATATCCTTTGGTATATATTAATACTTCGACCTCTTTCAATGAATGCAATTGGTCTCATTCCCATCACTTTTTGAGTGTTGCACTATGTAATTTTCGTGAGTATTAAAATGCATAAGTACTACGTAAATTTTAAAGGTATGAATGTATTTTATTTAACTATTCTAACATATTTTTCACATAGTCACAACAATTTAAAAAAAAATCCCATTTTTGCTGAGTTTAGTCATCAGTGATTCAATCACTCTCGTATAAAATTGTCAAAATAGTTTTCGAAAGCACAACTAAACCGCAAACGAGTATTTTTCAAAGGTTACCTACACACATATACATACATACATACATAAAATGAAGATGTGCAGATGTGACTTATTGACTAGAAATTTCGCATCAATTTTCAAGTCCTTTTTTAACACATGCATACATACATATGTATGTTCATATCTTTGTCAATTGGTAAACTAAATTTACTAAATATAATACTGGTACTATAAATAAAAATTTTAATAAAAACTAAGAAACATTAATTCCAGCTATGTATATCAAGTTGATCAAAATTTGTTCTTTATGTCGTTGCGAAATCCCACTGGAAATCTGACATACAGCCATGCACAATATATGTATGTAAAAATGTACAACAATGCAATAACAACAATCCATTTAAGTATCCTTCTCTTCAAAGTTCTAGGGCGCCAAAATCTTTTGCGGTATATGTGTAGCGAGATATTGTTTGTGTAATCGTTGCAGACAGAATTGATAGAATTCGATTTCGTTTGTAAAATTATGTCGCACAATGTCTTTCACTTTTTCGCTCACTGGTGGCTTGAAGTTATTCTTATTGATCTTTGTCAAGTACTCAGCGCTAGCTGTGGAGATAAGAAAAGAAATATAAGTTTAAAAACATTAAGATAAATAATGTTGAAAACTAGAGTTATGTACTCAATAGAAGTATTTATTTAATCAGTTTATACTAAGGACCGCCATCAAACTGTTGTCATAGATTTTATATTTCTCAGCTTTATTAGGAGACGATCTGGCGATATTTTCAATAAACTTGAATGATATTTTCTGGCTATTTAAGGTTACAGGTATTCTTTGAACCACATATCGCTAGAAACGTCGTGAAACACGTCCTTTGCGAAGTGGCGTTTACGACACATGCTTCTAGATGTGCCGATTCTAGGAAGCGGAATCTGGGGCTGGAAAGCGCTTCACTTAGGCACTTAATCTGCTACACTGTTTGCCGTTTCTCATTACACAACGCCCGCTAACAAGTTCCTCACTGACAGGGATGCATGGCAGATCGATTGAGGGTCCTATGAGTCCCTGCACAACCCCTTTCTTGGCGATAATATCTTCCCTTTCGTTATTCACAATTCTACTGCCGTCTGGTTCATAAATAGGTACAGGATTTTTTATCGGTCCATATGCAAAGAGATTCCAAAAGGGGTAGGAATGTCGATATCTCTATCGTATCACAAAAGCCCCTACGGTAGGCCTCTTAAGGCAGTACTTCAACCTTGTATAAAGTTAAACCTCAGAAGACAATCCTTCCTCCGATTATATACCCTTGAGAATGGAAGTGTGTCGTCGTTTATCATTCTCCGCATATCCCCTGAATTGGTTGTTGTTATAAATAGCAGACCCTTTCACAATTACAATGTGCAAAGGAGGTCTAGGGTGTTGTTATCATTGCACCAGACGTTTTGGACTTGTAAAGGGTAGCCATCGTGAACTATGAGTTTTGAGCTTTGAGTTTTAGCCTGAATGGCCAGTTCCCTTCCAGTAGCTTTGGACAGGTCCAAATGTGGACCGCGATCCTTTGATTAGTTCTCTGAATTCATATCTCCTAGCATACCCAGAATTTCGAGAGCTGAAAAGGCAAATAGGTAAATTCCTCTTGAAGCTCTGTGGCGAAGGTATCGTCTGCCCCTGAGGCTCTTCAAGGAGCAGAAGCAGATAGGAGTATAAAGCCCGCTTTATTCTGACTTCATCGAATGAGCCTCTATCTACCCATCAGAGTGGTAATTTTTTCCCAATCTGCTTGGGGACGATCTTCGGCTAGTAAATTAGAAGATTCCTTGCAGCTGTTCCTGAATAATCTATCAGAGCTTTTCAGGTGATCTAGTTAATTAGAGTTCATTTTAACAAGAACTCTTTCGATTCTGAAACTCGCGGAAAGCTCGATGAGTTTCTTTTATCAGTTCCAGTTAGCAGTTCTTTAAGTTCCTTGTCTGCAAAGGATTCTAATCAGTATGATTTAAGAAAGAGGAAACAACCCTGCGGACTCGCGAAGACATTTGCTTCTCTTCAAAGAAATAACTAACCCACTCAGAGAACGGAAGATCGAAGGCTGAACGTGCAATTTGTCAAACAGTGATGAGAGAAAAGATTATTTCAATATCCTTACTGCTACAGTCCGCAGTATCTGGCAGTAGTTTAAACGCGGAAAGGGACGGGGCGTTGATACTCAAACTGCGGAGATGTTTCGGAACTGGTTTTAGAGCATCATTCCTCGCCGAGCAGAGTGGCGGGCTAATAGTTGGAACGGGTTTCCATCCTATACTGCCATCAAGAAGACAGATGAGGAATATTAGTGGCTCTAGCTTTTGAGCTGAAATCTTCTTCGAGACGAAATATTCTTTCATTCAAGCAATAGTTATTTAAGCTGTAATAAAATGGCCAAAAGCGATGGAAAAGTATTCATGTGCTGGATAAACACCTAAACTAATCGATTTTCAGAGATCTTGTCAATCTTAGGAGGGCAGCTGGTCAGTGATAAGGAATCACGACTCACTCTAGACTGCTTGCTTGACAAGAGGGGGCACATTTCCGAAATACGATACATAGGAAACCCAACCTCACAAATAACAATTTAAAAAAAATTATCAAAATGCACAAAACTTAAACCGACTTTAGTGCATAGACATAAGTAAATCCAACAGGATCTGCTATGATTCGGCGGGAACCAGTTTTAATGTTTATTGAGCGACCTTCGAGTGTCAATGTGACCAGGTAATCTCAAATAAGCCAATTCTTTTTGAACAAATTTCTAAGCTTTGGACGTGAGTACGTCTAGGCAACTTGTTTCGAATGCTTAATCCGGCCTCTGTAAAGGTATGTTCTTTCTTCAGTCAATTGCACAAATTGTTATTTTTTATAGCCGCGAAAGGACACAGTGAGAAAACGCATGAATCAGTTTTCCAAGTTTCACGCTTTTGTCGAACTAAAAATATGAATTTTTCAAAATTTGTTCCAACTCCAAACATAAAAACTTAACTGAACTATAAAATACTACAAAAAACTTAGGTTTATGAAACAGACTAGCTACTTACTTTGGTATATCTCTCGTACTCCTTCAAAGAATCGTGGTATATACTTCTCAAAAACCGACAGAGTTGTATTCATATCTTCTAAAACGCCAACAACGGCATATTGACTTTCGACAGCAAATTTCGCGCGTTCCAAAGCGCCAATAGTATTAAAAGGTCTGCAAATTAAAACAAAAATATAAATTACATATAAATAATCCAAAACTCAAAATTAATATCAAATTCATATTGCCGCTTTATGCTCACGTGCATTCGTATGCGTGTCCACAAAAGAACAAACTCTGCCGCCGATGATCACCAATGCCTTCAACCGTCACACCCTGCGTATAGGTGCACTCCTGATCACCCGACAACACACAAGTCTCGAAATCTTTCTTAAGCCAAGCCGGATGTGGCAGCGGCAAGTCGGGGAAAGCAGCTTTGCGCTCAACAAAGTACCAGGGAG